GAAGAGTATAGAATGTCACGTAGCATCAGTGAGGAAGAGTATAGAATGTCACATAGCATGGTGAGGAAAGAGGAAGAATGTGAGGAAGAGTATAGAATGTCAGCATGGTGAGGAAGAGTATAGAATGTCACGTAAAGCATCATTGAGGAAGAGTATAGAATGTCACGAAGCATCATTGAGGAAGAGTATGAATGTCACGTAGCATGGTGAGGAAGAGTATAGAATGTCATAGATGGTGAGGAAGAGTATAGAATGTCACAGCATCAGTGAGGAAGAGTATAGAATGTCACGTAGCATCAGTGGAAGAGTCACGAAGAGGATAGAATGTCACGTAGGCATGGTGAGGAAGAGCATGGTGAGGAAGAGTGTCACGTAGCATCAGTGAGGAAGAGTATAGAATGTCACGTAGCATCAGTGAGGAATGAGTGATAAGAAATGTCACGTGGCATCAGTGAGGAAGAGTATAGAATGTCGGTAGCATCAGTGAGGAAGAGTATAGAATGTCACGTAGCATGGTGAGGAAGAGTATAGAATGTCACGTAGCATGGTGAGGAAGAGTATAGAATGTCACGTAGCATCATTGAGGAAGAGTATAGAATGTCACGTAGCATGGTTGAGGAAGAGTATAGAATGTCACGTAGCATGGTGAGGAAGAATGTCAGTGAGGAAGAGTATCAGAATGTCATGTAGCATCAGTGAGGAAGAGTATAGAATGTCACGTAGCATGGTGAGGAAGAGTATAGAATGTCACGTAGCATCAGTGAGGAAGAGAATGTCACGGCATCAGTGAGGAAGAGTATAGAATGTCACGTAGCATCAGTGAGGAAGAGTATAGAATGTCAGGCAGTGAGGAAGAGTATAGAATGTCACGTAGCATGGTGAGGAAGAGTATAGAATGTCAGAATGGTGAGGAAGAGTATAGTCATGTCAGTGAGGAAGAGTATAGAATGTCAAGCATGGTGAGGAAGAGTATAGAATGTCACGAAGTCAGTGAGGAAGAGTATAGAATGTCAGCATCATTGAGGAAGAGAGTATAGAATGTCACGTAGCATAGAATGTCACGAGTATGAGCATCAGTGAGGAAGAGTATAGAATGTCACGTAGCATCAGTGAGGAAGAGTATAGAATGTCACATGGTGAGCATCATTGAATGATCAGGATCATTGAGGAAGAGTATAGAATGTCACGTAGCATCGTGAGGAAGAGTATGAATGTCACGTATCAGCACGAAGCATGGTGAGGAAGAGTAGGAAGAGTATAGAATGTCACATCAGTGAGGAAGAGAATAGAATGTCACGTAGCATCATTGAGGAAGAGTATAGAATGTCACGTAGCATGGTGAGGAAGAGTATGTCACGTGTCATGTCATGAAGCATAGAAATGTCAGGAATGGTATAAGAATGTCACGTAGCATCAGTGAGGAAGAGTATAGAATGTCACGTAGCATGGTGAGGAAAGAGTATAGAATGTCAACGAAGCATCAGTGAGGAAGAGTATAGAATGTCATGTAGCATAGCATGGGTGAGGAAGAGTATAGAATGTCACGTAGCATCAGTGAGGAAGAGTATAGAATGTCATGGTGAGGAAGAGTATAGAATGCATCAGTGATGTCAGTGATCAGAGGATAGAATGTCACGTAGCATCATTGAGGAAGAGTATAATGAATGTCACGTAGCATCATGAGGAAGAGTATAGAATGTCACGTAGCATGGTGAGGAAGAGTATAGAATGTCAAGCATGGTGAGGAAGAGTATAGAATGTCACGTAGCATCAGTGAGGAAGAGTATAGAATGTCACGTAGCATGGTGAGGAAGAGTATAGAATGTCAGCATGGTGAGGAAGAGTATAGAATGTCACGTATTGAGGAAGAGTATAGAATGTCACGTAGTATGGTGAGGAAGAGTATAGAATGTCACGTAGCATGGTGAGAGAAGAGAATGTCACGTAGCATCAGGTGAAGAAGATAGAATGTCACAGTGAGTAGAATGTCACAGCATCATGTCACGTAGCATGGTGAGGAAGAGTATAGAATGTCACGTAGTATGGTGAGGAAGAGTATAGAATGTCACATGGTAGGGGAAGAGTATAAATGTCATCAGTGAGGAAGAGTATAGAATGTCACGTAGCATCAGTGAGGAAGAGTATAGAATGTCACGTAGCATCAGTGAGGAAGAGTATAGAATGTCACGTAGCATGGTGAGGAAGAGTATAGAATGTCACGTAGCATGGTGAGGAAGAGTATAGAATGTCACGTGAGGAAGCATAGAATCAGCATGAGGAGGAAGAGTATAGAATGTCACGCAGCAGCATGGTGAGGAAGAGTATAGAATGTCATAGCATCAGTGAGGAAGAGTATAGAATGTCACGTAGCATGGGTGAGGAAGAAGTCAGTATAGAGGATGTGTCACGTAGCATCAGTGAGGAAAGGCATAGAATGTCACGTGGCATGTAGTGAGGAAGAGTATAGAATGTCACGAGTAGAGGAAGAGTATAGAATGTCACGTAGCATGGTGAGGAAGAGTATAGAATGTCACGTAGCATGGTGAGGAAGAGTATAGAATGTCATGTAGCATGGTGAGGAAGAGTATAGAATGTCACGTAGCATGGTGAGGAAGAGTATAGAATGTCACGTAGCATCAGTGAAGGAAGAGTATAGAATGTCACGTAGCATGGAAGAGGAAGAGTATAAGAATGTCACGTAGCATGTGAGGAAGAGTATAGAATGTCAGGCATGAGCAAGAGTATAGAATGTCAAAGAGTATAGAATGTCACGTAGCATCAGTTGAGCAAGAGTATAGAATGTCACGTAGCATGGTGAGGAAGAGTATAGATTGTAGCAACCATGAAGCATGTTTTTATTCTTGGTGGAAATGTGATCCATTGGTTGAAAACATTAAATATTTTTTCCAAAAGAATGCATGGATCCTCCGACTCAGAAACCATTTTTTGATCAACTGTCTTGGTGTTTATTTCTGTCTTCACTCCACAAACATTTTTGTACTTGCTATAAATATGAAAAGAAAACTTAAAGCAATTGATAATTGGTAAATATTTAAAAAATGAAACCCTTTAGGATTGATACATTCTCCTGTAGCTCAGGACTATCCTTATGTTAATTTGAGTGGATAGACTTTTCTGATTCTCATGAGGTCAACTAACTAAAAATTAATACACAGCAGATGTTTTTTTTTTAATGCCATGTCCCTATGACAGAACATAGGCAATCATGGTTCTCCACAGATTTTTTTTTTTCATTATCTGTAAATTGCCATGCATTCTTGGGAAAGACAGTGAAGTGGATTTTTGTTGCCTTCTCTACCAATTGGAATTCAGAGTTTTCCTTGTCTTAGACTGATTGCTACCCAAGGCTTCAGAACTCAATCTATCCTGCTATTTAATCTATAGTTTGAGGGAGAAGAGATGAATTCATGCCTTTCTGAAAGGACAATTGTGCAAAAGTGAATGCCACAAATTCAAAATTTGAATGAAATCCTACAAATTAATATTACAATGATCCAATATTTGTATTTTTACCATCTTTTTCTTCTTCTCAGTTTCCCTTCAAGACATGAGCAAGGTTTTTAAATTGAAAATTAAAATTTTATATTCAATTTTTAATTTTACATTTAAAGTTTATGATTTTAAAGTTTTTGATGGAATTTTTTGACTCTTCAAAACTGAATAGTGAAATTTTTTTTCCGTTCTCACTATTTTAAAATGAGAAAATCAAGAAGTTACTTTGAACTTAAAAAAATAATTTATTTAGAATTCTATTTATTTTCTCTGGAAGTAACTTGGTACCATCTTTCTTTTTATGTGTCGTGTCCTTTCAGGACATGGGTGATCATGGCTCTCCATCTCCCTCTATACCTTGCAGCTCTCAACAAATTCCTTCCCTCTGCCACCTCCTCCAGACCACATTCTGTCATCCACTTGCTTAAGCCCACCAGGTATGTTCTGCATTGTTTTCCCTTGTCTCGCTTTCCCTCTATTTGACCTATGAGTATCAGATTCTCCAGGCCCTCCTTCCTCATTATATGTCCCAGAAACTTCAGCTGCCTCTTCCTGATGTTAGGTATAAGCCTCCTCCTTGTTTGCATCCTCTATAAGACTTCATTGTTGCTCACACACAGTCTATATCTTTAGCATCCTTCTGTAAAACCACATCTCGCCTTGAGTCAGTTTTTGTTATAAATTTACATTGGTCAACGTCATACCACCATCACTTTCCATTCTTCCACAACACACAGGTGGTTAAGGAAAAAAAAAATTGAATTTTTACTGTGGTACAACAAAAAAATGCACATCATTTTTTGCTAAAGCATTTCAATGATATCAAATTATTAAGAGAATAAATTTGTTTGTTCAAAGAAGATAACTTCCAGTCTATCAACTGCTTATTAAAGAGTTGCTTCCCTTAATAAGAAGCTAACAATAATGAGATTGTGCAAATCATCAGCCTGTTAATATCGTTATTTTCTCTTCTAGTTACATCTACTACTCATTTTTGATGTTACTTCTGTGTTCAAGTGATTTACGTTATTTGGTAAAACTCTTTGTAATTTTGGAGTTTTAGTCTATTGAAAGAAATTTTTTTTTTCTATTTCATGCTAAACAAGGCAAAAACCACTAAGATGAAGGGGTTACTGAGTGTGAAAGAATATAAGAAAAAGAAAAAAATCTATTAAGGAGAGAGGACAATAAAAGAATAAGAATTAAGACAGAAGATAACTGACATTGTATTTAGATTTTAAAGATCAAAACTGGCTAGAAAAGAGTTCCACAAGCGGATTTATTTAAAGCCATCTTAACCATTGTCTTAAAAAAAACAAAAAAACTGTTGTATACCGATGTTAGTTTAGACATTTTTTCAATTGGATGCAAGAATAATTTTGAGTATAACATTGTTTTCAAATCAAAATTTGTTCAGAAAATAAAATAAGAAACAAAAAATAAGTTAATTCTTTAAAAGATTTATCATTATTGCAAACATTACTTACAATGATTTCAGTCTGCATTTTTTCAAATCTTATTGACTGACTGTCTCGATTAACAATTGGTTTGTTTCGAATATCTTTTGCCTTTAAAGAAATGCAACAAACAAAATAAATAACTGATAGAAGAATACAATAAAATTTGGTCACTTCCATGGAAATTTTTATGCGGAAGATACTCCATGGAGGCTACTGCATTAAGGTTGAGTCTTAAGTAATTTTCGTTTTGTGGAACCAATTTTAATGACAAATGTATCAATCTGACTACAAATCATATGTAGCAGTTCAAAATAAATTTGTAGTACACTAACACAGTTGATTAGATGAAAAATGTTGTTCTTTTCCATGACAAGGTAAAGCTGCAGGAAACAAGAAGTACAGAGGATAAAATTTGGGGATTTGGTTGGTCTGTTCTACCCCAATCTCTCATATTCACTTGACCTTGCACCATTACTTTTTTTTGATTGCTGCAAAATGCTTTGATGGGGAAAAATTTGATGAAAACTAGATTCAAGAGTTGGTCAAAAACATTTTCACAACACAAAACCTATGAAATTTTACTAAAAAGGTTATGGAAGTGCTGCCTAATAAGTTACAACAAATTATAAAATGTAATTGTCCTTTATTTTTTGAAGAATAAAGTAAATAAGCAAAACTGAAAATTATTTATAACTCAACTTAATAAATATCCCAAATAATTGTTAATGTATAATTCATAGAAGATGCAAGCATATTAAAATTGAAAGAGGGTTGATAGAAGACATTTAATATAAAAATTGCTGAATGTAATTTCTGGAAAACAAATAATTAAATAATCTACTGGAACCTAAAATAATGAATCTTAATGTTAGGGAAAGTTAAATTTCCTTCCCCTATAAAGGACAATAACTAAAAATAAAATGGAGTTACTTCCCTTGTCTGGAAGGCAAGTGGAGCACTTCTGAATTGAACATGGGAACAAGCTGACACACACATGGAATTCATGGTTTCAATCTAAACAAATCCTTGCTGTTCTCAGGTAGTGAATGAATAAAAATTGTTTTATTATGTGTTAAAATAGACTAGTCTATGATTTTCATTTATTTTTGTTCATCCCAACAACCTGGGATATAACACTTATTTTATGTTAATGCAAGGTATCAGAGGCAGATATTGATAGTATGACAATGGTGGTTGAATCTGATGGCCAATAGACAATATTTTTTGTCTTGTTACAGGTAGTAGCTGAGCCACTGTCTGGCAAAACTGAGTGACATGAAAGTGCATATAAAGCAAATGTATGCTATTGAATTCCTCTATGAGGAAAGAAAAATTCTACCCATTTATTCATTGATGCTTGATGAACATTTATGAAAATCAAACAGGGGGATGTGAGCACAGTTAGGCAGTGGGTAATGTATTTCAGCAATGACAATAATGATATCTGTGGCAAGCCACATTCAAGACAGACTATGCAAACAATATTTTCCTAGCAACATTATTGCAGCTACAAAAAATCGAGAAAGTGTTTTGTAGCTGAAAACTTGCTCTATGCAATGGTGCTATTGTGCTCCTTTGTATTTATTATTTCCATGGAAATAAATCAGAAGAATTACATCTGGAGCATCCCTTGTATATGAAACTCTGGTCAAAGTGGATCATAAGGCTATCACAGAAATAAGTATTCAATTAAAATTAAATGAAAAACTTTGAATTATAAGACTTATATGAAAAGTTTTAACTGATTATAAAATATTAATGAGAAAAGCAATAGTTTTATTTTTTTAGGTTAGATTTTAAAGAAATATATATTTGAAGAAAAAATTTATGAAAATAGAAAATAAAAAAGAAACTAGTTTGTTCTCACCCGATTTGCATATTTCAGGGAATTTAAACTTTCATCGAAGCTGGAAGCAGCAGGGCTGATGCAGCAAATCATAAGAGTTTGTGCATTCCCGCCTAAGGAATCCTGGAATGTAAGACATCAGTTTAATGAACAGGTTTTTGAAAAACCCGTATACATCACTACTAAACTAATTCACCTGACAGTACAAAAATATTTGTAATCAGAAGAATGTTCAAGGTCAGTATCAATAATGGATTCATTAATGGATAACATAAAATGAAAGATGATAAAAGATTGGGAAATAATAAGGTTTTGCGCTCATCATTGAGGCATAACAGGGAATGGTCACAAAAGAAATCACTGATGAGATGTTAATTTGTATGGTTTCTCTGGATGAATACTTGGCTTAATCCAATTTTTCTTCTAAAAATCACAAAATGATATGGAGAAGTGCCAGAAAGCTGTAGCAATATTTCTTGGAAACTTTGGAATAAATGAACAGAATCATAGGTATAAGCAAATAATATATGTTTATTTATTTGACTTGGAGCAAGTTCTTTGCAATATGGGCTGGCGAAAGTTCGTTCGGCTAGGTAGTTGATAGTTTATGAGTCTGATCTTGTTAGTAGTCAGAAATGTGTTTACTTTGGAAACATGTGAATGCCAAATGCTGTGTTTTTGTGGTTCTCACAAAGTACGTAAAGATATCTAAGCAGATGATGACTTAGTTTCTTCACGTGACATGCTTGGCTGGTTTCTCTGACTGACTCCTCTGTCGGCTGTCTCTTCATATATACTTAAGAAAGGTTCCAAACTACTTGGCGCAAAGCTTGGTTTTACTTAACATCAAAAGGCTCTTTTTGATCCAAATTCTTTTATTTATTTTCCAGTGTTCATTTCTTTTTCTGTTTTTTTTATAGTGGAAGTTATGAGTGGAGCCTCACTCATTTTGGTAGATTTCTAGTCACAATAACTAGACTCTGGACTTGCAAACTCTTGTTATTCAGTCTTTTCATCTTCTTCCTTTTTTTTATTTGAGGGTTGCCTTCTTGTTAGTTGAGAGAGATGCATAGAGAGAGAAAAGATATGGGTTTTAAAAGAATGCAAATGCCTTATTATAATCAGTTGTTAACTGGGGCAAGGAAAGGATTGTAAATTTTAACACCTCCAAAATGAGACTTCTATATTTTAATCACCATAGAGAACCTGCTTTTGCCTTCCATCAGCATGGCTGATGCTAACCACTAGGAGAGCAACTTTTTATACCGTCTTGGACTTACGCCTTCCACTTAAACATTGAATGTAACTTATGTTCTAGAAAATTTGTCAGCAGAAAACATGACACCAAAACGGCACAGTGAGTTTATCTCCAGGAGGTTAGTATCAGCCATGCTAATGGAAGGTAAAAAAGTTTCTTTAAGATGATTAATAGAAAGCAGTTTCATCTTATAGGCATTAAAATTAACAAACCACTTCTTGTTCTAGTTCACAACATATTTTAGGTCATTTAGGAGCTCAGCTGCCAATTTGACAGTCAGACTATTAAGACAGAAATAAATAATTATTTTACCAGTATAAGCCATCAAATTCTGAACACACATTTTATTTTTATAGTCTCAGTTGTGGAGTTTCTCAAACATAAGTTACATTTAATCTTTATTAAAGAAAATAATTAAAATCAGAGATCAACGACTCAAAATATCTTTCATACCTTTAAAATTCTTGTAATTTTAGAATCCCGATAAGGAATGTGTTTGGCTTTTTTTTTTGGATCCGCCAAGGAACTAATAACGTTTCCTAAGGCCAAAAGTCCCGTGTTGATATGCACCGATTCTGAAAAGATCACAAATTTTATTTTATTTCAAAAGTAAATTCAATGTGAATAACGTCAAATAGAAATTGTTCTTTATCTATAGGAATTGATTTTTTTGCAAAAGATAACATACAAAATTTATCTTTTAATTAGTTAGATATTTACCTTTAAATCTTTCCCCAACATTTCCAATGCGGTGAGCACGTTCTGAGCCAGCCAGGTCAACAAAATGAAATTTGGCGGAAATACAATGAGAAATTTCTAAAACAAATGAAAAGAGGATTTGAAAAAGGATGTTTTAAGTGATATATAAAATAAAAACATTCACTCTTGCAAGTCTGCCAAATTATTTTAAATTTAAATACAGAAACTGATCCTGAAAAAGAAATTTAAAAAATAAATGAAATTATTCCCTTTTTATAGTCCATATATTATACGGAGATTAGTGTTTTTTTTTTAAAAAAAAAAAAATTTTGAATTTAAAATAGACAGGATTTATATCAATGATGTTTTTTAAAAAATATGTATTAAAATAAATGAACCTAAAACTATAAAAAAAATTATTATTTAAAATAACAGGATTTATATTTTATATTTAACATAAACAGGGATTAATTGTATTTTTTTTAGATTTGTAATAAAATATACGGACCTAAAACTATAAAAAATTTTTTTAAAATAGTGAAGAATAATATATATTTATTAATATATAATTAATAGCTTTGTTCTGTTATATTACATCAAGCACTATTTTATTAACACCAGCACTCAATGTGCAATATATATATATATAAATATAAGTTTGTGGCCGTGAGTTTCATGCTTTTGTGATCATCAGACAATCTCTCTCTCTCTCTTTTTATATATATATATATATATATATATATATCTCCTTCCTTTATCAGTTTGTATTTCACCAGGGATTGATAAAAACAGAAAAAAATACAAATTCTCAAGTATACCAAAAGAGTTTTTTTAAACTTTCAATAAAGTCTTAATTGCAAAAATTTTGTAATTAAAAAATATATATTTATATCTATATCTAGTATTACTCAATGACTTTTTCCTTTTTTTAATTAACAATCTAATATTTGTTTTCATTACAAAATTTTTTTTTTAATCATAATTATTGCCTTGCTTGAGGTGGATCCCAAGCAAGGCAATAACGATACTAGGACACAAGGGATTAATTGTTGTGAAAGAGAATGTAAAGGCTTTAGTGAGCAGAAAGGACAATAAAAGAACGTTTCAGGAAAAGAGTTGAATACTTTTACCCAATTTCAGATCACCATCAAGTAATGTGTGGCCCATACAAGTTTCTCTTTGTTGTGCCAATATTTTATAACTCTCCTTTTAAAACCATGTCCATAATAAATATGTATACAGATGTGTATGTTCATAGTATTAAGTAAAAACCTTGTCAATCAAATAGAAAAGATTAAATTATCCCCAAATATATATAACAAATCACTGTTGTGATTCTTATTCATAGTCATCATCATTATCAGAACATATTCATAAATGAATGAACCAAAAGATCTCAAAGGTAAAACACATAAAAACAAAGAAAATTGAGACTTTTGTGCAATTTTTAATGAATGCTTCTCAAATTACATGATAATATTAGAAATGTTTTCAAAAATACATTTTCACTATAAGTTTTGATCAAAACCTTAAATGGACTGACTTATGGACAAAATATTGTCCAGATAATTAAAGTGAGCTACATGAGACCAAACAATTTTTATTACTTAGATTGGACAAAAATTCATCATGTATCTCAGCACCTAACAGAAAAAAAAGGTTCTAATTTTTTTTTAAATTGGACTCAAAATACAGAGACCAAAGTTATCCTCCTAATATCATTTATATTTTAAATTAAGAAATGTCGACTATTGTGAAGTGACTTAAGACTAAATTTATCAAGGTCTGATTAACTTAATTTATTAAAGAAACAGGTACCAAAAGTCCTTTTTTTAATAATAAAATTGTATGAAAATACTTGCCATATAGACAATGTTTTGTCTTAAAATAAGAGCTTTTATTACTTCAAGCACATTAATGACATTCCACACACAACAAGAAAATGTTGTAGACTATTCTTTTGGAAAAAAAACAGGACCGTTATGAGTTATAATAATATCCCTTCTTTGGGTCATCACAGCTTCTAATAATTTGGATTTCAACAGGATAAGTTTTTGCTCTTCAGTGTAACCAAATAATCAAGTAGAACCCCAAGTTTTGTCATATAGGCATTAGTATACCAACAAAAAAATAGGTTAAGTTCAAATGTTTGGTTATATACCAGACAGCATGTTTTTACAAAAATATGATATCATATTGTTCATAAATGAACCAATTATAATATATTGTTGGTTTAGCCCCAATTTTATAAACATGAAGGTCATATAACCAAAATATCACACCTCATTGATGAGAATATAAGGAGTCTGGGGCTTTGGATAACATTAATGTCATAAAAACAAGACAATTTTATTGGGCTAAATTGGACTACATTCAAAAACAAGATATCTTTGATTTAAGAAGGCAAAGATTTAGGAGCTTTAGGATTAAAGTTTTAATTTGTAGGCTTGCTATCAGAAAATCAAAGTTGCCTTCCAAATACAATTGATTTTTATCATTAAGGTTCTTAAAGAACTTAAAGAACAATGGCATTTAGAAGACAACGTTGTTTCTCATTAGCAAGCCTGCAACTTTTAAAAATGTTATTTCTGGGTCCTCAGCACAACTTTAGTTTTTTTACTCATTTATGAATATGCTTATCAGAATATAATGAAATAAAGAGAGTTTCTCTGTCAAAAATCAGAAAATAAAGAAGCAAACAGAATCAAAAAGAAATGGCATCCATTTGCCAGATATACTTGAATTTTGTCTCTCTAGTGACACTTAGAAATGGATAAAAAGGGAAAAAACGAAGAAAGAGAATAAAGCACATCTCTTGTTTTTGCATATTTTATACAGAATTTATTCAATGTTTATTTGTTGTCTGATTTACATATCTCTATAAATTAAAAGAGGAAGTCATTAATAACATTCTGATGGTGATGTAAATAATTCAACGTATTATCTATATCACCCAATGTTCTTGTCTATCAATCAAATATTGGTTACTTACAGGTATATAATTCAGAGTGACCTTCATTTTTTATAGACATTTACCTATTTTCCTTTATTAATAATAATTAATCATTATTAACACAATTATTAATAATACAGTCATTTGACTAATACAGAAACTGTAATTGATTGATTTTTTATGGATTTTCAACCCTTTCCAGGTTATTTAAAAAAAGCCATAATGGTTGAAAAGCCATAAAAAATCAATCAATCAAGCCAGAAAATCTTTTTAGATTATAAGAATTTTTTGGAGATAATAATGATACAAGTCCTACTAATTAGCCCATACCTGGAGGAGAAGAAGTGGATTTATACCATTCCCAAGGATATTTATGCATAAGTGAATATAACAACCCAGATTGGAATTGGAACTCAGCTCTCCAATTTCCAATTTCTAGCTGTTATTCATTACACCACCTGCACATCCAAGCTTACAACACCTGGTATTCTCAACCAGTCACTGGTACTGACCAGGCTCAACATTACTTAGCTTTGGCGATCATACGAGACCCGATGTTTCAGCATGATATGGCTTGTAAGCCTACAGAATCTGTAGCAAAGTTAAACCCCAGTAGAAGTTGAAAAATTACACTGATATAATTAATAACCCTACCTGTATCTGTTGATTGTGAACAGCTTGTTAGCTGATCACCAGGTTTATTGACCATTACATCTATGTCAGTCCATTTCTGATCTGTTAAAAAAACATGCAATAATACATGCAACCATGCAGTTAGTATGGAAAGTAGGAAAACAAAACATGCATTATTAAACAAAGACTTCAACATTATGACTAAAAAAAGTAGGGATTTTTTATTTTCATTATAAAGAAAGTATAATTAATTTAAACCATTTGTTATTATCTATATTTCTAAAATAAAGTATTGTAACTATTTACACTATTTACATTGTTCAGACTGTTTTTGTAATTTTGGACCAAACCCTTTATTTGGTCCAACAAATATCACCTGAAGAAGGTCAGAGCATACAATGGCCAAAACATTGGTAATATAGCAATGAAGATGACTTATAGAAACTACAAAAAAGATATAGAAACTATCTCACTTGTTGAGTATTGTGGCATATGGAGGCTTCCTTATTCTGCATGATTCAGCAGCAGCAGCAATGGAAATAATCAGCAGGGTACAATCAGAAGTCCCCTATTTGGCCTCTTTTCCATTTTAGTGACCTCTAAACTCATGCCTTGCTCTTTTCCACTTTTCATTTTTCAGCAGTCTCTAACTTCAAGCACAGCTTGAAGAGCTACACACAACCGGCAGAGAAATTTCCCTTCGAGACACCTACCAAGAAAGGAAAGCTATACACAACCCTTGCCGCAGAAGACAAAACCTGTTCTAGCAGTTTCACACTCAGATTTCTCATTCTTTCTGTGAGAACTAGCAGAGAAATCTCTTGCAACAAAAACTACTACTCAAGAACTTTGTTAAGTGGAAAATTCCACTTTTTTCCCTGCAAAATACTATTTGAACTCTCTTTCCACCAGAAAATAGAAGCTGTTGAACTGTTTTTTCAAGCCTTGTGTTTTGTTTATTCAACTCTCACTACTGAGCATAAACACACATGCAACTGGGAAAAATTCATACAAACTATCCAAAGAATGTACATTTGTTAATGATTTATACTTAAAGTCAATAATTTTCAAATTTTTATAATTCTCAAGTTGGCATCCATGAATAAGCAATATTGTTGAAATTCAATAGTGATTTGGAAAATACACTTGTTTTCAGTGAAAATGTATTTCCCTTTTACAAGATGAAGCTCAGAGACTGAGAGCCAAAGTTATTAAAAGTCTAGTATTATCTTACTATAAGTTGCCAAATGCCCTTTTTGTCCATATATCAGTCATCACATATGATTGGCTAGACCGGTGGCCACAAAATTTTCTTGATTACTAATAAGACCTCAGGGTATATTTTCAGCATATTCAATTTTGATAATTCACTTTTTTAAAAAGCCTTTCATGAAAGGATCGATTTACAATGTAAGTATAATGCAAAACTGATCCCTTATTTTGTGTACACCAAGTTAGCTAAACTGAATCTTTATCTTTCGATTTAATCATACTTGTAATCTTTTTTGGCTTTTGGTTCAATCCTGGTTTTTAGTGTCAATTCAAAAATTGTAGATATGTAAACGATATTTTTATCATCATGTTTGAAATATCATTTTTTAACAAGAGTTATCATTGTTGCATTTTCATCAAATGAATTAAGTTCAAAGTGACCAACTCACATTGATTTAATTTGCTTCAAATGGGTTTTATAAGAATTTTGTTATGTTAGGAGAAATAATTTATAAACTTGGGTATTGAAATTTGTTCCTTTGAATTTATTGAAAGTCAAATTTCATTTATAACTAATAAATTGGGTTAACCAAAAGGTCCATTCAGTTTTTGTTAACACCAAACTTCAAATTACTCTAATTTGTATCTAACTCCAACCTGTCCTTTGAGTATATACACTCATTAGATACTTGACATTTCCTCATAGTTCAATGTGTGCTTGAGATCCCCTGAAAATGGAAAGCTAAAACAAACATTATCAACACCTCATGCTTTTTATTAAAAAAAAAAAAAAAAAAAAAAAAAAAAAAAAGATATAAAATTGGAAGAAACCTGCAGGAAGATGAGTGCTGTGTACAGAGAGGATTCAGTTATGAAATGAGCATGCCAGAAGTGGTTTTCAAGATTGCAAGTAGGAAATTTTTCAGTTCAAGATGCATCTTGCTATTAACAGTAACAAAATAAAAGAGTTAGTCAATAGCTACCCCCCATTATACAGCCAGGATGATTGCAGATATTCTTCAAATATTCAACTTATGTATTGAAAACCATCTGAATCAACTTTGTTATGTCAGCAAGTTTGATGTTTGGGTTACATGTCAATTGAATGAGGCTAATTTCACCCAATGGATTTTCATCTGGGATTTGTTGTAGAAATGTGATAAATACGATGCTTTTTTTTTTCTTTTTTTTTTTTTAAAAGAGAATGGTGACAAGGCATGAATAATGGATCATTTATAATGTGAAGTGCAAATGGTCATAGGAAAGTACAGTGAAGCTCTACAAATAATCTCCAAAGCAGGACTTCACTCAAAGAAGGTTATACATTCAAGGATTGGAAGGGTGTTGACTTTTACAAACTTCTTCCCACAGAAAGGACCATCAATTTGGATGTGTACTTTACCATCTGGACAAATTAAACACAGCAATCCACCAGAACTTGCTAATTATAAGGGCACCATCTTTCATCACAATGTCATTCCACACACTTCTTTGCAAGTAGCAGAATTTAGAGGGGCTTGGCTGAAAAGTTTTTCCACACCCTCCATATTTGCCCAGTCTAGCCCCTTCAGATATTACCCCATTTTGGTTTTCTTCAAAATTCATTGAATGGATAGACTTTTAACTTTGAATAGGCAGTATAAATTCAAATGAAAGAGTTTTATGCTCGTAAAGACGTGAAATTCTTTTATCAGGGAATAATGGTACTGATTACAAGATGGCAGAAGATACTGGAACAAAACAGTGATTGCATCATTGACTGAATAAATGGCTTTGTGTTTAAAACTTTTGTCTATATTTCTTAGATGAGGTATTGCAATGATTTACACTATTTACATTGTCATATTCACAACGTTTTGGCCATTGTATGCTCCAGCCTTCTTCAGGTGATATACATTAAAATTTCAAACCAAACCCTTTATTTAAGTCCACTGGGGTAGATTGTTCTAGTTTCATCCCTTTTCTGGATACCTCAATTTCAGTTATTTCCCTCAACTCTCTAAGTTTTTATTCCCCTCTGCATTGGTTGAAGTAATCCAGTAACTTGACCCAAAGAATTGTGAGTTCAATACCTAGCCTCTGCAGAGTTGAACAAAAACTTGGAGAGTTTAGTTACTAAAAGGAAATAACTGAAACTGAGATATTCAGAAAAGGCATGGCATGTGGAACTAGAACAATCTACCACAGTGGATTAAATAAAGGGTTTGTTTTGAAATTCCAATGTATATCACCTGAAGAAGGCCAGAGTATACAATGACCAAAATGTTGTGAATATGACGATAAAGATGAGGACAATGTAAATAGTGTAAATGGATACTTTTATACTGTGAGTAAAGATGAGAATTTGATAAAATGGTAAATATATAAGACAATTTAGAAACTTCTATTTTTTCTGATGATACCAGTTCATCAGCAAAACATATCAAAGTAGAATTCTTCAAGTTTGTCTTACCTTTATACACCCTTATTTCTCGAAAGAACTGTTCAAAGCAAACATGATTTTGTATGTACTTTTCTCAAAGTATTTTATTATACAGAACATTTCAATCTCCTAATTTCACTAATTAAAAAAAGTGTTCTTTTATTAACTGATTTGCTATAAATTATTCTTTAAATAGTGTTAAAAAAGAATATATGAATATGACAATAAAGATGAGGACAATAATCTGAACAATGTAAATCGTCTTATTTTTGCTTAAAAACCCAAATGGACTTTTTGTCCAATTTCATATATTCTTTTCTGTTGTTTTTTTCTCATCTTTATTCCATACCTACAGGACAGGTCTTACAGAAAATTATTACATCAACTGTTTTTTATTGTTGTTTTGGCGGGGCTTTTTTTTTTAGGTAGATTAAGAAATACACTGAATTAATTATTGTTCAATTCAATCACAACTGCATTTTAAAATCACAGATTTCTAAATAAAAGATATAAAATATTTTGAGATTATTTTCCAAACACTCACATGCAAATACGAAGGATGATCCGAAAATAATGCCTATTATTATTTATTTCCATGGAAACTATAACAGAAACAAGAAACACAATAACACTGTTGGAAAAACCGGGTTTTCAGCAACAAAACTATTTTTCAATATAATTATCACCATTGGTGATGCATTTTCAAAGTGCACTTTATTTTACAGACTGATAGTTGCACAGGACAATGCAGAACAAGGCTTGCTTTACACATCACTGCCTCTACTGCTGAAATGAATTAATCACAACCTTCATATTCACTGTTTAGTTGCCATAAATGTTCAGCAAGTATTGATGAATATCAATGGCTGTGCATTTGGTGGCACAACTCTGCTCTATACACAAATGCCATTTTGCCAGACTGCTATCTGTAACAAGGTAAAATAAAAAAGAATTAAGACAGCAAAATTCAACTTCTACTGCCATATCTTTAACAAATTTAAAGTTGTGGGCTAACATAAAACAGGAGGCATTACTTTTAAAGCAACCCTCATGCAATAAACAGTATAAACAAAACTGTTAAGGACAATGCAAAATTAGAAATAATTCAGCCTTTATAGTAAGAAATTATGATTGTAATAAAACATTCTGTAAACAATTCATAGTAAATATGGACCTTCATACCCACAAAAAAAACAAAGTGTCAAAAAGACAGTTTTTCCCATGACACTGCTTTTGTTTTAACTACCTTCACTCCATCGGCAATATTTCTTGTTTTAAAAAAGCAATGATTAGAATTGTAATAAAACCTAAACATATGAAAGTGAATTTATACATTTTCTTTGTTCTTGAGAATTAACAACAAAAATAATAAACACTATTAAATTGTTTATTTACACTAATATATTGTTTATTGAAACAGCTGTCAAGACATCAGCTAATTTCCAATTGATTCAAACTTTGTAAAAAGGATAAATAATCAGGATTTACTTATAGTGGAGTGGTAATAAAATAAGCACATCCCATCTCCCCTCTTGCTTGTAACTATCCACTAAAATAAAATAAACATTTTCATCACTAAAGCTGAATTAGTCAAATAAAGTTTCATAAACTTCTACTTAAAGTTGTTGATATATTAAAAGTTGGTTCACATAATTTAATAATTTAGTAAATGTTTATAAATTTATGAATAAAAAAATTGTTTTCATATTTATTTCTTTATAAATCGTTAAATGATAAATATTGTATTGCATTAGTCTTAATACAATTGTATTAGTTGTTAGAATGTTGTAAATTTAAAATTATTCTTTTAAATAAATATTGTTTAATATTTCTGTTGTAAAATCTCAAGAACAAAAATAAATGTATAACTTCTCTTTCATCATATGTTTCGGTTTCATTAAAATTGTTGAAGAGTGAAAGTAGTTAAAATGATATTTCTATCATGGGACACACTGTTTTTCTACATGCACAAAGATCTGTGTTTGCCCAATTGACATATTAGATTTGAACAACTTCAAAAGAACAATAAAACTGAAAAAGAATGCCTCAGAAAATAATAATCTGAAATATAATATCAAGCAAATGTTATACAAATGTCAATGTTGTTATATGTATACACATGTCCAGGGGATAGGCAATAAGTACAATACAAACATTTACTAATCAAACAGGTATAGTATTGGTACATAAATTTCAGTGGCAACTATGAAAATAAGCAATGCTGATAACATATACACAATGTTTTATTTGTTTAGCAATAATCATCCTGCAACTTACTTTCTAGACTTCACTCATATAAATATGCATATTCATTACACACACAAATATAGGTAAATGTATACACTTTTGTACCAAATACAAATGCTGTCTGTTCATTTTATATGCAGATATTGTGTATCAAAATGTGTCCTCATTGATGCCTATTCTAGCATCATAGAAAGATTCTAGGACTCCATGACATCAGACTTTCTTTCTCATGGGCCCAGTCAAGAGCAGCCATTTCTCAACTAGCATTCTGGCATTGCAAAAATGAGATATTCATGACAGTGTGAAATTTTTAGATTATAAAATAAGCAGGCCAGTTCAAATAAACATTCTCTCAGGATTTTTTATACAAGTTTAACTGGGACAATGTAATTGTGACATGGAGGATATTATATTTTTTATTTATTTTTTAATCATTTCACCCCAAGCAAGGCAATAAAGTCACTAAGACACAAGAGGTGACGGAATGTTAGAGAATATAGAAACTACCACTATTAAAGACAGAAGATAACAATTGACAGTGCATTTAAATTTTTTTAATCATTTCACCCCAAGCAAAGTAATAAAGCCACTAAGACACAAGGGGGATACTGAATGTTACATAATATGAAAAAAAGAAAAATATTATTAAGGAGAGATAACAATAAAAGAACAGGAATTAAGAAGGCAAAATATAATGATTGACATTGCATTTAAATTTTTGAAGATCTAAGTTGACTGGGAAGCAAGAAGCCAAAAGAGAGTTCCACAAGTGAGAAGTGTGATAGAAGAAACTGTTAGCATAGAACTTAAGGTTACACTTAGCCATTTTAACAGTAAAATGATGAGGACTTCTATACTTAAATTCATAAAGTCTAGGTACCATAGCAGAAAGTTCATCAGAACAATTATCATAAAAATATTTATAGAAAAGACACAGGGAAGCTATGTTATGACAGTGGAGAAGAGACTAAAGTTGAAAATAATTTGAAAAGTAATATATATGCCATACCAAATAAGCACTGTGCCTAGTTGGTGGTGGTGGTGGGGGGAGTGAATAAAATAATTATCCTGCTACTTGTATATATACATATAAATATGTACTGAACTCTCCTGTTATTTTTGACATATGAGGGTCAAGCAGCTCAGTTCTTAGAATCAACAGCCAGACTACCCAGACATATCATTTGATTATAGTGGTGAAGGCTTGTACAGAACCAACCACACTTTTTGGAAGAGATGAATACAGAAAACTGGTGCACAGTATGCCACAAGGTCCTCAAATGACCATCTGCAGGTTTCAAATTCAGAGTTATCCTTCTCCTAGACTGTTCCCCACTCAAGGCTATTGGATCCTGTCTGTCCTGCTATTTACCCATAGCTAGAGAGAGAAAAGATTGATTCATACCTTTCTCAAGGTATTAGCACATTAGTGAATGTAAGCATATATATATATATATATATATATATATATATATATATATATATATGTATATATATATATATATATATATATATATATATATATATATGACTACATGCAAATACACAAAAATATAAAATAATTTTCATGCATTTTTTTTAATATTTTAAAGAGTTGTTATTCCACCCCCAAAATTGTTGGGATCTATTTTCTATTAAATAATTTTTAACAATTTCACTAAGTTCAAAATCATTACCAAGGTTTAAATTAAAATTAAAACAGCTCTTTCTGTATAAATTCAATGCAGAAATTTATTTATGATTACAAATTGCAGAAATTGCAGCTATAAATTGCAAAACTATGCCTTCCTCTTTTGTATCAAAAAAAAAAAAAAAAAAAAAAAAAAGAAGTATTTCCAGATTTTTTTCAGGATTGTAGTCTAAAGAATGCTTCCAATTTAAGCCTACATTTACTAATTTAAAACACACAAGACTGATTTCCAGAATTTTACAAAATCACTTTTAAAATAAGTTCTCTTTGCCTTTAGAAAAGTTTCTTCCAGTACTTATTGTTGTTAAACTCCTCCATTCAGCAAGAGATTCAATTTCCATGAGATTTATCATTTGCTGAATTTCTTGTAAGAGGACACCAACAAGAAATACAGCTTTACATTCTTGGCTTAGAAATTGATTGTGCTATTTAAATCTGGAAAATATTTGCCTTCATTCTCAGGTTTCCAATCTGCTTTTATTTTCATTCATATTCCTTTCTTTTCATCAATAAATCTATTTGCCAGTTTTATCATTTCGATTGTAACTTTTGTTCTTGCCTTGAGAACCTGATGAGTCCATTGATAGTTGACATATTAAATAATTCTTGCAGAAAAAAGTTTTGCTTTCAGAAGGAAAATTTGGCGAGTTAAAAAAAAAAAAATTCAGACTTTGGTAGACAAATCAAAATACAGGGTGTCTCAAAAAAAAAAGAAAGAAAAAAAAACATCATTTTGTAATTTAATAACATAACCAATTCTCACTCAAATGATCTCAAATTTTAACAAAATGTGTAAAAATTAAATAAGCTGTGAGAATCTACAGGAAGAGCGATTGAGCGTGACGATGATAATGACAATGTGCTATTCCACCTGACCACTTACAATTTTTTTTTCTATAGAGCTATGTGAAAGGATAGGTCTCTATTACTCCTTTTCCTACAAGCCTAGAGTAACTTAAGCAGAGAATCACTGAGGCACTGGAGAATGTTATGCAAGACATGCTACAGGATGTTTGGCAGGAGCTGGACTACCAACTTGATATGTGTTGTGTCACAGGTGTTTCAAATATTGAACATTTGTGAAGCTTTGTGAAATAAGTTATAAAATTTACTTTCCTTTGAATCACTTGTTCAAATTTTGATAAATAAGTCTTTTATTACTCAACATGTAGCCTATTTAATTTAGTTTACCTGGGACATGTAGTTACTCAGCTATTTGCATTTTAAATGATATCAATTGGGGGGGAGGCAGCCCAAACTTTGATCTTAAATAAAAGGTTTCATATTTGAAAAAGAGTTTTCTTTTTTCTTTTTCATAGGTAGAAGTCAAATACAAAGAGTAAAAAAATGCAACCTAGTAAAATCCACTAAACCCAGATATTTACTAGAGGCAGCTTTGTATGATACAATACTAAATAAATGGAAAATACAGAATAGAAAGATTATGCTATGTCAATTTTCCAAGTGAGGAAGGCCTTGCTTTCAAAATCTTGACTCAAACACCAATAATTGGCAATCATTGGCCATTATATAACTAAGTCACCAAACAGGTTCAAATGCTACTAAATATATCTAAAAATCAACAATTACTAATTGGAATGTGAGAAATGTTATTTAATTGTTAGGATGAGTAAATTAAATGAATCAGTGAAAAAAAAAATTATAAAAAAAGTATAAAAATTCAAATTACCAATGAAGATTGTGAAGACAGAATGTGATCGACTGGAATGTTCATTCATTTGAGTTGAGCCTGTTCTTCGCAATGCTGTTCCCGATTCCAAACAAGACATGACATCTTCCATGCTCTGACACGGCACTTCTTGGACACCCCACATAACTGTGCAAAACAAAGGTGGAATTTTAAATCAGTTAAGTAGTTATAAAGGTTTTATCAGAAAATTAAATATATCTTTTCACATACATACATAGGCCCTGCTATGAGAAAACATATTAGGTAATGTCCGTCTCCAATTTTTAACCATCCATGAGAACTGTACGGCATTGTCCCAGTATTAATGCTGTGCAGTTTTGAAACATCCTTTTAAAATATCTTAGATATATCATTTGCTTCTTAATTTTCTCATATATTTCTTTGGGAGTCGTTTTTGGTTTTTATGAACTCAACTGGAATTCGAAATCAGTGCTCCGATTTTTCAATCCAAGCCGCAATCCATTGTAGGAGGACAGTAGAGTAATGGATTGTGTTACTCTACTGTGCCTTCTACAATGGATTAAAGAAGAATATAAAAGTCATTATTAAGATTTTGAATTGTGGTCAACTTATGGTTTATGGCGATATCACATTGAAACACCAGTTCTCATCTGATTATTAAAGTTAAGCAAAATTGAGCCTGGTCAGTACTCAGTTGGATGATTGCTAAAGATTTTTTTTAATGGAATTCACCTCATGCAAGGCAGTAAAGCCACTGGGGGTTACTGGGTGTGAAAAAAAAAACATTATTGAGGCGCAAGAAAAATAGAAGAGAAATCAGGAAGACAGTAGATTTTTGAAGATCAAACTTGACTGGAAAGCAAGGAACTGTAAGAGAGTTCCACAAGCAAGAAGTGTGAGAAAAGAAACTACCAGATGCTGTAAGCTATGCAACAGGCCTAGCAATCTGGCGATGGATAAAATCTTGCTACTTATACTAACAGAAGACTTTGATATATGGAAATGCTTCATGCAGCAACAGGGCCACATACTGATGACAGTCAAATGGTGTTCTTATTGAAATATAATTTTCATCAATTAAAAGACAAGAAATACAGGTTAAAAAAATTAGAGTTCAAATGAATTTCTTTTAAATGGGTGAATCTTCTCAACCAAATCCTAGAGAAGCTTTTTTCTGTATACTTTTTTTCTTTTTAAAAACTTTATTAAGAGAAAGTGAAATATTTACAACAACATTTTTCCCCAATTAATAGCAGCCTGTGTGTGTGATATAAAAAAAAAAGGTACATATCAAATATAGAAAAAATATATAAGAAAAGGTACACATATAAACCCAATGAAAAACCACTTTACCTACACACATCTTCCAAACACCCACTATCAATAATCAAGCAGATCCTACAATTAATTAACCACAGGTTATCTGACAATTTTTCCAATGAAACCATCTCACAATGAAGCCAAGAAAAATTATGAAACAGCCCTAAAAGATAGTGGATTTTTGAGAAAACCCACATACACACAGCACAACACAAAAAAAGCCAACAGGAAAAGAAATATTATATGCTTCAACCCACAAAACAACAAAAATGTAAAAACAAACTTAGAAAAAACTATTCATTAAACCATACACAAACACTTCCCTACATCAAGCACTCTCCACAAGATATTCAACAAAAACATGGTAAAATTCAGCTACAGTTGCACAGAGAACAGGACAAAAATAATAAAAAAAACACAACAGAAAACAACCAATAAACCACCTGCACAAATCAAACCTTAATCCACCTTGCTGACGGTAATCTTAGTGCTGGTGGATTTTAAACTTAAACTTGGACAGTATGCACTAATGGGTTAAATAGTTTCAGAATCATAGCTTAGTAGAAGTTAATTAAACCAAAGAAGGTCTGAAACTAATTCTTAAATATGGAGAACAATTTTAGGAAAATCTATGACTATGACAAAGAGGAAAAGAGTTATTGCATGACACATTGCATAGTTTAAAACTTCATCAGACTAAAGTGATCAGATCTTGGCAGATTTTCTATTTTCACAGTGTGGGATATTTCATAACAAGTGATAAAAACATAAACAAAAAGAAAGTAAATTAAATTGTTTAGACTATATACCCAAATGCATAAAAAAAAATATTAAATATTAAATTTCAGCATCCACCTTTCATGAATGCACATGTGTAATCATGTCAACATAAACATTGCTTTAGTCTGATGAAGTCCTAAAGGACAAAACACATCACACAAAAAAAATCTTTTCCACTTTGTCTATATATATATATATATAGGTAACTATACTTGTCTTGAAAACCTTCGAATTTTAGATTTGCCAATAATCAAATCAATCTTGAAGGAAAAAAAGGTTTTAAAAAAAAGAAAGGACCAGGAACATGAAAGCCTGTCGAAAAAAATCACACAGGTACAGGTTCAAAGCCCAAAGAAAAAAAACCTGACATGAGTAAACAACTAACTAAAAAGAGCTCAATACAACCGTAGAGCAGACCTAGTCAAACCAAGTGAGCCAGACAAACCTACCCAGGTTTCACCTAAGTGGATCATCAGGGAAAGCAGGCTAAAGAGGCAAAAGAGAAACGGCATATTTATAGGCAACAATCAAAACTATACCACGTGACCAAAGAAAATAAAAGAATAGAAAAACGCGACAAGAAAAGAAAAATCAACACAACACTTTGTTAGGATTTATTCAAATGACTAAAAGGGGAGGGGATATTTTAAGAAAACACGGACAATAAAGATGGAAACAATACAATCAGGGGAGATTAGACCTAATTCAATAACTAAGATTTTCTATGCCTACATTGGTTAAGAATCTTGGGTAGGTTTGTCTGGCTCACGAGGTTTTATATATATATATATATATATATATATACATACATACACACACACACACACACACACAATATATATTCACATATGTGACTTTTGAAGTTAATTTAATGGGGGTCACATCATACATGAGATATAAAATTAGCATATGTACTGCTGACCCTAGCTACACCATTGACCAATCTATACATCCATTTACTGTAGTAAAAAAACTTATATGTTTATATGTAGTGCATGTGTGTATAGTTGCATATATTAGTGTGCATGTAAGTGTGCCTGCATATTACATATATACATATAAATACATACACTCATATTTACACATATATATAGAGACATACACTCACATATAAACTTAACATGCACACGATTGCATTAACATATGAACAAACGTAAAAAGTGATATGCCGTATATACTTGCATATCATGCAACATTTGAAAACCTAATTTTGAAGCTAATTTTAAGGGAGTTGCGTCATACATGAGATATAAAATTAGCATATGTACTGCTGGCCCTGGCTACGCCATTGACCAAGCTATAGATCCATTTACTGTAATCAAAAGGTAAAGTTGTATTTAAAATAATCATGATTTTGATAAAACTGATGTTTTACTTAACTGTATCCAATAATAATGCATGTAATATTTATATATTATCTGTCTATATTTCTATTAGTTAGATCCAGTGACAGGACCCAAAGAATGTCAGTTCAATATCTGGTTAAGGTGGTGGAGAATTGGAGAGGGAATTAAGCAGGAGATAACTGATAACTGACATCTATTAAGACATGGCACATGGAACTAGAACAGTCTACCCAGTGAGCGATATAAAGGGTTCAGTACAATATTCTAATCACCTGAAGAAGGCCAGAGTGTACAACGGCCGAAATGTTGTAATAAATATGGCGACAAAGATGAGAACAATAGTCCGAATAATGTAAGTAATTTACGTATTAGTATCATACTATAAAATACAAACATAGCGAATATGCATCTTTTCCATTGCTTACGCTTGCTAAAATGATTAGCTGTTTCTTGTTTGATTGTTTATGGCTGTACACATTTATGCAATGAGTATAGCATTACTAATAATACTTTTATCATTCTCTTTTACATTTTTAACTAGAATATAGGATAAAGAGATAGAGGAAAAGAGCTAAGTCTATTGTAATTTGGTCTCTCAAAATAGAAACTTGCATGATCCACAAGATACATGATAAAATCATCTTTTCTAAATGGAAATTTGGGGTCACACAATACATGAGATTGCACATTACATGAGTATATGTAAAAATCATGATGAAAAATGGTGATTTGATGATGAAAACTAATTTTATTACCTGTGTTTCCTTTCTCATCTTCACGGACATGTAAATTCTTGTTGTCCAGATCAAGAAGATCACACAATTCTTCCATATAAATTTCAATATAAGACACATTCACAGCAAAATGAACTGTAGGTTTAGACTAAATACAAAATAAAATCAAACAAAAAGAAATTATAGATTTAATAAAAACAAATTTAAAAAAATCCAAGACAAAAAAAGCATTTTTGAGATTCATGTTATCTTATGGTTGATTTTTTTTTTAACCTAACATTTTGACCAGTTCATTTTCTAACCTTCCAAGGATGTGAAACAGATTAACCAAAATGTGCTTAAAACAAAAGTACAAAGATAGTTTGCACAAATCATAGTAAAATAATACTTGAACACAGAACTGTAGACATTTGATTTTTACATTTAAGTACATACCTCCAAAAATTTTCTTAAAAAAAAAAAAAAAAAAAAAAAAAAAAAAAAAAAGAGCACAGTATGATACAAAGGCTCCAAACTTAATAAAAACAAAGTTTTATCATCAAAAGCTTTATTACTATTAAGCAGAAAGACCAAAGTATTTTTTATTATTTTATTAAATTTTTTAATCCTTTCTAGCATATTCAAAACTTTGGTTAAAATTCTTGCAGAAGACGACTAAAAAAAAAAGGGCATTAATCAGCTATTTTATCAAAAGATAAAAAAAGAACTCCTTTCAATCAATCTAAATTTGTTTTGAAATACAGAAAAGTATTTTGCTTATTAGAAATATTAAATTTAATCTATTAGCTTGAAATTACAACTAAAATAAAAGCTTCAACAAAAATTTCTCATTTATAAAAATGAATTTTAAACCTTAGATATAATTTTATTTTCTGTTTTTCGTGTAGATACCTACTTTTAATATTATGTCTATTCATTATATCCTCATATTAAATATTAACAATAAATAACAAAATGTATTTTGATGAAAGAGTAAATAGAAAGCATAAACCCCCCCGCCCCAAAAAAAACAAAAAAAACAATTACTTACATTCATTAAGTTATACATCTGTTTCACTGCTCTTGGTATGATGCCTTGCTCTTGTTCTGTCATAGAACTCAAATTACCACCACCAATAGTATAGGTTTTTCCAGAACCCTATTTCAAGTTAAAAATAAATAACATGAGTATTTCAAATGCTAAACAAAAATAAGATCTTTTCACATAACAATTTTCTAAATTACATTGACATGTATCAATAAATTTACAGCTGGAACATAACTATTTATATTAGTTTCTTGTAACTTTGTTTTTGTTGTTTTTATCCCAACATTTATGCTGATATATTCTTTAACCTACCTCAACTGTATGTTACAAGTAGAGGCATTTAGTGCTTTTTTCATTGACTGGAGTTGTTAATCTGCAGAGATGTTAGTGAGGTGAAAAAGAAAGAGAGTAAGGTGCAGAGAAAAATGAAATAAAATCAATAAATAAAATAATAATAATGCATAATAAAAGAAAAAAATGAAATACATATTCCTGTTATGCTAACAGTAAAGAAACCGGAAATATGATTACCCCACTTGGCATCGTCAAACAGTATTAGGTGGAAGAACTGCCTAACTTTCTTTCTTCGCCCTTGCTCCAAAATGGTAACTATGTTCCTGCTGGAAAATGTTAGTTTTCCCCAGTCCACTATAAACTGAACTGTCTTTCCACTTTCCAATGATGGTGTTCAGATATGCCATGCAACCCCACTCATGAAGTAAGTATTTTGGTTGTTCCAACTCATCGCAAGGCTGACTTGAACTCAACCATTTTAAACATTATCTTATTTAACCTAACTTCCAGAGTAGAAAGAAAACAGACATATACAAGAGACATGGAGAACTTCATTTTACTAGTTTATATAAGAAAAAAAATAAATGGTCCATGGTAGATATCTCAAGTTTTTGTATACTTCTTAATTGTTTATCATATGTGAACATGCATATATACATACACCTTAAAATATAATATACCCAAACACACCTTTTAAATACCACAAAGGTATTAAGTAATATCTAAAGACAGCATCAGACATAATATGCACTTGAGTAAAACTAAAGAACATATTAACAGAAACATTGTGGTAAAATAACAATGATAACAAAACCAGCTTAAATTCTGGACACATCTCCAGAAAGAGTTGGAATTTGTTTTCTATCAACCAAAGATTTCTTGAAAATTTGTGTTATATGCTCAGCTCTTATTCAAGCCAAATGACATAAATTAGTTTACCTACAACATTACTTTTGATGACTCTTGCTACTATTGTTTTCACATTTCAATTATTATATTAGTATGTAGTAATACTGGGGGATAAGTTCATTACTTTGTGATTATAGAAAATTGATCCCCCACTTTAAACCGAGTAGAATTTTATATTAATCCTCGTTTAACCATGACAGTCTATTTACTATTATTAGGTTTTCATATGTGATTCTTTAAATATCTTATTTCAATTATATTGATATGTAGTAATTTTAAGGGATCAGTTTATTACATAATAACTATAGAAAACCAGTCCCTTACTTATGCCCAATATAATTTAATATTATTTCTATTTTACTGTTACTAAAAAAAAAAAAAAAAAAAAAAAAAATATGATAGACTATTTTAATTTGGTTTGGTTAATTTTGTTTAGCAGCATATCAACCCTATGGGTTATTTAATGCTGAAATCTAATTATTCTGACTATAATTTTATGGCTTCCACCAAATATATTTTGAACAAAATTGTATATCTTCAACCACAGATATTTTGTACACAATTTTATATTTTCAAGGTAACCATATGATTTATAGATATATAGTATATACAAAATTATATGTCTTGGTATAAACCTATTTCTTCAAGGTAGGAGGTCATGTTGAGTTTTGTTTGGGGGTTCAGTATTTGTCCACAGCTGGGACCATAACAGATGTTACCACCCCCTGGTCAGGGTGAGCCTGAGAACAGCAGCAAGTAAGAGATAGTTCAGAGACCTTTCTGCCAGACTATTTTAAGTCCTTACTACTATAAGAAAGTTTTGATATGCAAGTCTTTATTTTTTATATATATATATATATATATATTATTATTATTATGGTTTACCCATTTGTACCTCCACACACTGATAGATATCCTCGGTTTTTAGTCTTATCTAGATCCTTTCTTTGTATCATTCATTTCAACATTCTGCTAACGTCATAACAAAGACACTACTGTGTGGAGTGGCCAGTGCTAAGTAGATAACCCTAGTTATCTCTCTCACACTAACAACATTATAAGTTACAGACAGAAAATACACAAATATGTATGGTGTATCATACAATATAATATAATGGGTGTATAGCCAAGTGGTTAGAATGTTAGCATTCCACCTATGAGACCCTAGATCAAATATCAACATGGTAAGTCTTTCTAGGTGATTATGGCATTGTTGGAAGACCTAGAAAACCATACCACAGGTTGACCCAAACCTTGTGAGTGACCTTGGGTAGATGAAATGGTTAAGAAGCCATCAATGGTTGTGCTAACACAAAGTCTTCATGACCAAGAATTTGTGCATATTGGCTTTGTTCAAAACCTGCTGATCATACCAAATTATGTGCTATCAACCAGAAACTCTAAGGTTTTACTCAGTGTAGTTACAGTATAAATCGCAGGTTGACTGTAAGTATTGAAGAAACATAACTTTGTCTGATCAGGCGTCTGCAACAGAGATTAGCTAGCCACCCTAGTAGACTCCACAGTCTCAAGACAGTTATATTTATACAATATGCTCATTTTAGCTTCAAGGTATTTTTATGTCATTTAATTCATTTCAGTTCAAAATTGATTTGACAGTAATCATTAATTTAAAAAGATTTAATTTGTTTATTTTGTTGCATTACAGGAAATCAACCTTTTGGGTCATTTAATGTTTTTCCTACATAAAACCTTGTATTTAAACAGTTATCTTTTTAAAATAGTAAGACTGTTGTTAGTCATCGTTATATTTTCTTTTAAATTATATTTTTGAGATCAGTTTAATTTCTCTTACAAACTGGAATAGGTAAAGTAAATCAGTATTTTGAACAGGTTTCTTATTTGGTGGTATTTTAAGTGGATTGAATAAAAAAATGCTGCAGTTTGTCAGTATGTGTTTTATGGTGAATTTATAATTTTTTTTTTTACTTTCCTACTAACTTCAAATCCTTGTACCAGACACAAAACTCAGTTGGTAGAAACAGCAAGTCACAAGAGGTATAAAATTTTAAAATCAAGGCAACCACCGAGTAAAATTTCAAAAGGAAAACATATTTATTTACAGTTTACACAATTACGAAAAAAGTACAATTCAGGTTGGCACAATAATTTTCTTCTGTTTGCCTCAAAGGCTGGATAACATTTTCAAGGATTACCAATGAAAGGTGGAAAATTACAGCATGGGAAAAATAAGGATTTTCTAAATGACAAAAGGAGAAAACAATACAAGAATGCTGGTGGTTTTAAAAGGTCAAAAAGAGGAAGAGAATTTGGTTTGGTTTTATTTGTTTTATGGCAATGCTTTGGATCATTTAACGCCAAAATTCAATGTTTTTTCCTACATAAAACCTTGTATTTAAAGTGTCATCTTTTTTTTTTTTTAAATATTAAGACTGCTGTTAGTTATATTTTCTTTTTAATTATATTTTTGAGATCAGTTTCTCTTACAAACTGGAATATGTAAAGTAAATCAGTGTTTTGAACAAGTTTTAAGTTTCTTGTTTGGCAGTATTTTAAGTAGGTTGAATTAAAATTGCTGCAGGTTTTTTAGTATGCATTTTATGGTGAATTGCTCTTAGCAAGCCACACACACTGAAGAATTTTCCTTTTTTAAGATATACAAATGCGTTATGGTAGTATGTTCAATATGGAACCTGGACTTAATCATTTCTTCTCTTCTAGTTTTGGTGTTTTTGATGCCATTTCCCTATAGTTAGTGTGATGACTTACCACGAAGCTCAAAATGTGTGCAAACGTGTCTTGCTTGCATGACAAATCCAAAAGGAAACATGGCTGCTGTCAAAGACGCGATTCATACGCGCCGGTCTCGTCTAAAACGAGATTGTACCAGTACACATGCAAATTTCAGCAGTGTCGGACTAGATAAAAAGGCGAGGCGCCAGCAGCACAGCAGAATGTGAGTCATTCAGCGGACTTCATGAAACAGAGTCAGACATGCGAATAGACTGGCAGACCAAGAGGCGGTTGAAGTATGCGCGTTTGGTTTTGGTGTCTATTTCACGATTGCCTGGTGTAACGGCCAAGAAAAGGAGTCTTGCAATTTATTTCTTTGAGGCGACCGACGGCAAAGAAGAACAGCTGGTTTGCTGGTGAAACCATTGATCACTTTTTTGTTTCTCTCTCTTCTTTTTGCTACAGTTACTTTAATTTGTATAGTTTATTGTTTGGGCAGGAGTTCAATAGGTTTTGCCCTAATATATTTATTGTTTGTTTCAGATCTCTATATGAGATTTTGACCTTTGGATGGGATCTTTCATATTCTTTAAATTTTAAGCCTGAGCCCCAAGGGACCTTCTCCCAGACGGTACCTCTCCCTCGGAAGCAGGTGGGTTTATTGCTTCATGCCTGAGGTGAAGTCGTGAAGGGGAAGTGCTGAGAGCACTCAGGATTTTTTCCACAGTACTGCTGTTAAACCCACTTTAAGCATCAACCATGTGTCACATCTGGTTGCGATGTCAGTGCCCTGGTAAATATCTATATGGGATTTTGGCCTTTGGCTGGAATGTTTCATATTCTTTAAATTTTATGCCCAAGCCTCAGGGGCCTTTTCATCAGGCAGTTCCTCTCCCTCAAGAGAGGATTGGCTTTATTGCCCAGCGGCTGATGCATCCCAAAAAGGGAAAGTGCCAAGGGGGCTTGGGAATTTTTGTGCAGTATTGCCATTAAACCTACTTTAAAACCTCGCCTTGTGTCACATCCTGTTGCAACATACGTGCTCTTTATGGGATTTTGGTATTTAAGGGGTCTGTTATATATTTTTTTTTTTTTTTTTTATAGTAGATGCTTTTCTTGCTGCTGAATCTACTCTATCATTCCCTATAATACCAATATGGCTTGGATCCAGCAGAAGACAATATCTGTATTTAAGTTATTGATTCTGTTAAGTAGTTTAATGATAAATGGAGTTGACATTTTTTTGTTTTTCAATGCTGTAATCATTGACATGGAGTCAGTGTTTAGAAAAATTTAAGCAAACTATAAACTTTCTTAATGAAATGTTTTAAGAAAGTTTAATAAAATTATATTGAAAAATTTAACATGAAAAAGAAATTTAAGCAAATACCTAACGTCAAAAAAAAAAAAAAAACCCACCCCAAAAATGACAGTTTGGTTCTAAAATACAATTATAGATTTCCCATGTTTATTTTAAATATTAAACCCTCCTCAAGACTAATAAACATGTTAGTCAGAAGCATTCAATATTTTCTCATTGATTACTATTTTGTTGAATTGCAAAAATATTTACTTACTGTCTGCCCATAGGCAAAAACTGTTGCGTTATAGCCTTCAAATAAGCTTTCAACCAAAGGCTCAACACTTTGGTAAACATCCCCCTAAAATAAAAGAATTCATAAAATAAATCATATATTCTAAGAATTAAATAAAAAAGTTTTTTTTTTCAACAGAAATTTATCCTGCCATATGTAAAATTTAACTGAAATAACTTATCGTTTTTTTTTTGTTTTTTTTTTTTTACTAATTCCAGTTCTGTCTGGAACTGGTCAAATTTTCTAGGAAGTGAAAAGACGTCTCTCATTGTTTGAAAGTCCTTGAAAACTGTATCACAGATTGATCCAAAACTATGTTCATCAAAAATGCAAATTCATCACAAGTTTTATCAAAAGCAGAAAAAAAAAAAAAAAAAAAACAATGTGTGTGTGTGTGGGGGGGGTTATAACTCTGAGTAAATAAATTATAAACTCCCTTACAAAAATACTTGTAAAAATGAGAAACAGCAAAACAAGGAAACAAGAAAATGAGTATTATTTATTATCTGGTTGTTATATGGTGTTGAAGACATGAGACAGACAGTAATACGGAATAAAATTGTGAGTTTGGTATGAAATGTAAGTCAAATATAGATTGGAATCTGACAGAATAAGATAAAGAATAAGTAAAGTGTATACAGTCTTTCTCATAAGTCTTGATAGATGTGTGTAATGAGTATCCAGATAATTTACTTGCATTATCTATTTCATTTGGACTGTTATCCTAATCTTCATTGTCATATTCACAACGTTTCAGCCACTGTATGCTGCAGACTTCTTTAGGTGATTTGAATTTCAAACTGAACCCTTTATTTCATCCACCGGGGTAGATTTGTTCTAGTTCTACATGCCATGCCTCTTCCAGATGTCTTAGCTATTTCCAAGTTTTTTGAACTCACAACTCTTTGGATCTAGTCTCTGGGACTAACCAACATCTTTATCCACTGGGCCATGTGTCAATGAGGACATCTGTGCATGAATTTTTGGGACTTATAAACCTATCTCAGCAACCATTTTTTACCAGTGCTTTCATTCCTCTGTAGGGTTCCGATTGCCAGCCTCTCCAGTTTCAGACTCCTCCCTAGGAGAATGGGCCAGTATACCAATAGATAACCTAATGGAGGAGCTGACTTTTTGTATGCAAACAATGTACTTCGGAATAAGATCAGACATATATTGACAGTATGAGAGCTTAGCTCACCATTATCACCAGCAATGGCAAACCTATATATGGAATAAGAAATGGCATTAGAATCAACACCACTAAAGCCAACCCTATGGCTGAGATACATAGATGACACCTTCATACTCTGGCCACACCAGGAAGATGTCCTGTTATTATTGCACCATGTGAATTCAATAAGATCATTGATACAGTTCACAATGGAGTGAGAAAACGACAACAAACTTGCCTTCCTGGATGTACTAATATCTCAAACAGAACAGAGGTTCAAGACATCCATATACTGCAAGCCAACATTCACCGGACAATACCACAACTTCAACTCCCACTATCTATACAGCGTTAAGAAAAGGATCCTCCGCTGCTTAGAATATCGAGCAAAAGTCATAAGTGGTGACCCAGAAACATATGAACAAGAAACGGTCAATATAAGCAGTACCCTATGATGTAACTACTCTGGGTACATGGCAGCAGCTACAACAAACTGGGATAGAAGAGTACAAGAGGATAACTGCCGACCCTATGTGAAGGGATTATTGGAGAAAATACAAAGGATCTGTGATCCCTGTAACATCAGGACAACTCAAAAGTGGTTCAACACTTCACAGATACCTCTTCCAAGTAAGACACCCCATAGAGGAGAACATGACTAAGGACTGTGTGTATGCCATCCCATGCAGCTGTGGTAAGAAATACAGGCTGCTCCCTTAATGTAAAGCGGTAACATGAGGGGAAATAGAAAAATTAGGTGTAGCTGACCACATATGGAGGGAAAAGAAGAACACCACTTCATGAAAAAACACATCAAAATAGTTCTAATTGGTTCATAAATGTTATGGCCACGTACATAAAGAAATACATGAATAAAAAATGAATTATACTGTCCCTGTGTTGTGTCCATACAAAATTAAGTATAGTAAAATAATTATAACCATTAATTCACTCTTTCTAAACTAATAAGAATTCACCCCACATTTCTCCTCTTACACACACAAACATGTGGCATTCGCACTATCAGATAGACCGTCAACACAGACAGGCCGTCAACACGTGCATCAACGAAATCATGTCACAGTGGAATTTTTCCATTTTGTCTTATCTTACCATTATATTCCCTTATTTCTTGAAAGAACTGTTCATAGCAAACATGATATTGTAAGTACATTTCTTAAAGTATTTTATTGTACAGAACAATTTCATTAATTAAAAAAAAGTGCTCTCTTACTAACTTATTTGCTATAAATTATTTCTTAAATAGTACTAGAGAAAGAATACAACCCTAAAATGTACTTTCACTAGCAGAATACATATACACAAGAAGGTATTAAAAACAATTATTATTTTGGTGGCTGGTCAGATTTTGAGATGTGGGTCAGGATAAAATATTTTTCAGCACCCCCTTGTACTTTTCAAATCTGCTTTTTATTGAAATCTCCAATAAGAATAAAATTGTTACTTTTATGTATACTAAACTACTTGTACTATTCCCTTGTTGTTTTTACCATTAATCTTTATTGCCACTAACCTGACTAATGGCCTACTCAGTATTTGGACAAGTGTAGGAGAAGAAACAAGCAAATTTCTACCTCTCATTTTGCAAGTAAATTTTTTTTTTTTTTTTAATGCTATGTCCCTTCAGGATGTAGGTGATGATGATTCTCTACAGATCCCTTTTATTTATTATTTGTAAATTGCTGTGCATTTGAAAGATTGTAGAGTGGTTTCCTGTTGCCTTTTCTATGGTTTGGAAAATTCAGTTTTAGACCAGTTACCCAATACTGGATACGTGGCTAGTGTAATGGATAGCAGCTCATAATAATAATAATCGACTATCAAGGGTTTCCTGACCAAACTGGTGAAGGGGAATGACTCTCTCCAACTCACCTGTGTCATGTGGTCATCAGCCAGTCACCAGCCTGAGTGTTAGAAGCTGCACTTCAGAGGTCAATGTCTTTACTAGTGGGTGGAGGAACTTCTGAGAGGAGGGATGGGATAACCTCAACATCCCTGGTGTTAAGGAAACCAACAAGCCATGCCACTGTACTATCTTGCCTTGAATGTCACCATGAACCACAATTACAACAGTGGGGGGAGACCACTGCAGTGCAAAATTCACTAAATGAATAAATGATGATGATGATGTGAATTATGGTATCCTAGATTCAACAGACTTCTACCCTCTAAATATATAATTGAATAACTATTAAGAGATAAAGTTAGTATTAATATTGTAGGTATAATTACAAGTTCTCATATTGTTTAAATACATTTTAGTTTTGCATTAGTATCCAAGATTCAACACAAACTTGCTCTATAAATGTAAAATTAAATTTAAATAATACCTTATGTTTTACATTGTTTTGTGCATTTAAGAAAATTTTGTCCAGTGAACATCATAAAATGGAAAATTCCTTTGAAAAAAGGAGGAGATTAGAACAAGAGCTAAAATGAAAGCAGTAATGATGCCTATCCCAGGACTGGATACAGGTATGGTGAGAGGCTGATAGGCAAAGATATTCACAAGTATTGTAGGAACACCAAGAAACAACAAGAGCACAAGCCAGGAGATGCAAGTCTCAGAGGTGAACTAATGAGGAAAGCAGACCTGCGAGATAGAAGGGCAAAGAAGACAAAATGAAACATAGGAAGAAGCTGATACTAGAAAAGCTACTATAAAAGAACATGTAGCTGAAAAGATTCAAAAAGAAACAGAAGAAGAATCTAATGCAAGAAGAAAAAATATAAAAATGCAAATAGAAATCCAAGAAAAGAGATAATACTCATTTTGTTGTTTCTGTGAGAAATCCAAGAATTCATTTTGTTTAATTAAATCATATGAAACGCCTTCTCAATTGAATCAGCAGACATCTTGTTTCATTTCTTGCTGAATAACATTAGATAATCTAATTTGGCCCAAAGCTTTATTGGCTTACCGCCAAATATACAATTTTTACATTATGTTGTAATAAAATTAAAAAGAATCTCTATAAAACTGTACACTGTGTCTCTTAAATTGCCTAAACCCACTCGGCCCGGTAGCTAGGATCAAAGTGTAGTTTCATTTTGTTGCTGAATAACATTGCTTGCAGATAATCTAATTTGGCTCCGCCGAAGGGTAGGGTTTATTGGGGAGGTTACCGGAACTGGCCCGCCTATACAATTTTATGGTTATTTATTTTTGGCTGGGCCTCACGGGCTCAGAGATACCCACATTAAAAAAGGCGTTGTGCCAAATTGTCCCCGTGGGTGGATTGATAATACCATCTTAAATTGTTTTGGTAGAGTTCATTTTTTGTAATCAACTTGTATAATAAAAAACACAAGGAAAATACTGATAAGAAAAATAATAGTAAAATGTAATATAGTCCATGTAAATTTTACATTTCATTATTATTTTTCATTACTTATTTTGTTCTGCTTATTTTACTCAACTGTTTTTCAATCAATTCATAATGATCAAAATTCCTTTATTGTACAGGAAAGTAACATTCATAGGTAAGAACATAATTGTCAGGTATTAAATGATCAAGCATACTCGAAGGATGTCATCAATCCACATTTGGGATAATGAATCTTGTGCATCTTACCTATGCATAATTTTAATTATAATTATGATGATTACAATGTAAGTGATGGAGCCTTAATGACAATGTTGCTTGAATTGCTTTTGTTTGAGATGAGTTGTTAATATTTAATAAATTGTTTAGACCAGAGATCTTCAAAAAAGGCACAAAATTCTTTTTTGTTTCTTTGTAATTGTCACATTTCTTTTTCCTTTGGAATCATATCAGGCTAATTTGTGACTTTAGAGTTGTAGATATTCTTGGTGTTTATCAGAAACATCAGACATAGAATGAATGATGGTGAAAGGTATAGGGTATAATAATATATTTTTATTTATTTGTTTTAGAGTGAGTCCTTTCATATTTGGTGTAACAAGATGTTTGTTTTCAAGGCAGATATTGGTAGTAGTTTCAAGAATGTCTTTTTCAGCTTGGTATTCAAGTGTTTGGAACTCAGCACTTGATAGTAGTCATAGTCATCTTAGAAATAAGTCAGTGTCAATCTACTGTGTTTTTCACGGCCCTAAGCAGGGCAGAAATAATTAACAGATTAACTAGTTTTGTCATGCACCATGCATGGCTAGTTTCTCTGCAGTAGCATCTTTTGTTCCATCTTCTCCTGCCATTCTCCTTCTAGCTCAGAGGTATGAGCTTATATCCTTTTGAAAAGGATCTGAGACTCTGGCATAAACCTTGATTTCAGCTAGCATCAAAAGTGTTTTTGTGCTAATTTTTTTTTTGATTGGTCAAAATTATTTTATTTTCCAACATTCCTTTCTTTTCCATTTTTTTTTTTTTTTATAATGGAAGTTTTGTGTGGAGCCTCCCTGATTTTTGGTAGTTTTCAGTTACAAATTAGTAGACTCTGCTAACTTCCAGCCTGTTTCGGCCTTTCCTTCTTCCTCTTTATTTCAGGGTTACCTTTTCATTAGTTGAGAGAATATATAGAGAAAGAAAGAGAGAGACAAGGGTTTTAAAGGGAAGCTTAAATGCCTTACTTTAATTTGAGTTCTTTCTTTTTTTTATCTATATATCTCTATCTATAAAAGGCAGGATGTGTGTGTGTGTAACGAATGCACAGCCGCAATTTTCAACAGATTTGCACCAAAATTTACATGCACATGCTCCAAGTTAGCAGAAAGGCCAAGACCAACTTTGTATTTCCCAACTCCCATTGATAGTGGAAATAATCAATTTTTTTATGCTTCTATGGTAGTTTTCATGTAGTTTGCGGACATTTTGTACTTACCAGAGTGAGAGCCACGAATAGGCAGGAAGATTCTATTGGCCAGCGTGAGAGCCAACAGCTGACTGACATGAATGTTAACTAGCATGCAAAAAAAATCAATAGCTGCATTCGTCACAAGTGGGAAAAATTTAAATCTGCATGGCACTTTACTCCAATTGGCTCATTTGCTTGCTTAAACTCAACGTTGATTCTGATTCTGCAGAACTGGGTTGGGTGTGAAAAAGTATTTGTTGTTTTTTTTGTTTTTTTTTTCATTCGGTTTTTCCAATTAAGAGTCCTTTTTTAAAGCTGATCGTTTTGTGTTCATTTTGTTTAGTTCTTTTTTCATAACAGATTTAATGTTTAGTACAGAGCTTAGAAAAAATTTGCAGTGTGAGATAGGCAAGAAGTAAGGCATGTAGCAACATCAGCAAGGCAAAGGGCACTCCTTTAAAGGCAAGGAAGGGCAAAAATATTTTAAGTCAAGTGATAGCGATTGCTGTATGAGTCATATGATTTTTTAATCAAGCACCGCCAACACCAGGCCATGCTGCTAGTATTTTTATATTTCATTTTATTTTTATCAGAACTCACCATACATTCATTCAAATATTTTTTTTTCTATTATAATTTTTTTAACCTTCACATGAATGAAATATGATGTAGATTTTATACTGATTAGTTTAGAATATCCTCTTATTTTTTTCTTTCTATGTCTTTGAGCTAATGCATTCTCTAGCTTCTTCCATTGATTATTTTGTCTGTGCCAAATTTGTTGCTGGTCTATCAGCTGTTTTTGTAATGACAGACATTATAATCAGTCTGTGTGGTTTTCAGGATTATTTAACAATATAAAGCTGGATAATGAAGCAAATCTAACATATTATGAAACAAAAATATGAAAACCATGAGTAGAATGAAGATGAAGACAGATTTCAAAGAAGTTACCTTCAAGCTTTCCCTTGGAATGTGACAATAGAATTTCCTGAAGGAAAAGCAAGTTTTACTCTTATTGTAAAATACAATAAATAAAATAAATAAGTAAACTTACTTGTGTTGACTGAGGAGACAAAACATGGTCAAATGTAAATCCTTTGTCTGTTCCCAGCACAACCTGATTCGTGTCAGGAAAAACCCTAACGCAACGTTTTTCACCTGAAATTTTCTCTTTGGGTAGAAGTGGACGTACCTGGATGAAATAGAAATAAATAAACAATTCAGGTTATGACTTATAAATCAAATTGATTCACTAAATACACAATTTGCAACTATAAACTGTGATGATCCTGGTATGGATTTTCTACATTGCAGGTGCCATCTTTTGACAGGGTTGCTCCCAAGTATTTGAAGTTGGACACTTTCTCTAGTAGTCCATGATGATGCTAGGATTGGTGTTGCTTGTGCTATTCACCATTAATTTGGATTTCTCGGTGTTCAGTTACATTCCATAGGTACCAGACTCTTTCAATGAGTTTTTTGGCCAGGGCTTGCAGCTCACTGTTACTGCAGACCATAAGATCAATATCATCTGTGAAACGCAGGTTACAGACAGGTCTGCTGCCAATAGAGATGAAAGTGCTGTAGTCATTAAGGGTTTCCTGTATAATTCTCTTCAGAAACAGGTTGAAGAGTGTTGGAGAGAATCAGCCTCTCAGTCTAATTCCAATAGTCATCTGGAAGAAATCTCCCACTTACTTAGTTGAGAGAACTGCACTGATTGTATGATCATAGAGGGCTTTGATTACTTGTATGAACCCTTCTTCTATGTTGAATCCTCTGAGGACATGCCAGAGGCCATCATACCATATCCAATCAAATGCTTACTTGAAATCAATAATTTTATGGAACAGGTCCCTTGAATCAATGAAATGCTTGAGAAAGCTCCTCCACATCTTTTACTGATAGCACAAAGCTAATGACTATGTATGGAGCAAGGTTAAAAGTCTTGTGGGCCAACAGGAATCCCTCCTTGCCACGATTAAGCATTTGAAGATGGCATGGTTTGGCTTTAAACGGCATAACAACTTATGCAAGACCATCATGCAAGGCACTGTTGAAAGTGGATGCAACAGGGACAGCAAAGCAAGAGTTGATCTGACAATATCAAAGAGTGGATGGACATAACAATGCCTGAGATCCTGAGAGCCACTGCCAACACATCATCCTGGGGCAAGTTGTCTGTTTCTTCTGCCCTTAGGTCTCCCTGACAATTGAAGTAGTCAAAGGACTGATCAAGATGATCCACTATAGTAATGACATTTGAAAAATAAAAAATATATATATGTGCGTGTGTGTATTTAGGCAGCATATCTTTATTCAAGCATGTTTTATTGAATGATATGGACATATCGTGTTTATTTTTATACTGATCCTTTCCAATTCTCTAATCAGTTTCTTGATGTTAAGATGAAATTCACCAAGGAAGGTACCATAGTTTTTTCTAACCCAAGTACTTTCAATCTTTTCCAAGATCTTCTTCAGGGGTAAATTACAAAGAGAAACTTATTGTAATTGTGATAAAATTTGCATTCTGTTGTGATGGTGATTTTTGAAAAATACATGTGAACATGCTCTGTTATAGTTATTTTAGAATTTTAATTTATCCCATGTAGTTATGGAATTTTTTGCAAAACAAGCATTTCAATATAAGGGAACTGACCAGAAATTGGTAGAAATGCAAAGTGGCATTAAATCTTTTTTATATGCACTTCTATTAATATAGATATTAAATTTTGACAATGGTTGGTTGATTTTGATATAGCGGATAGAGAGCCTTGAAAATTTGAAGGTTTTGTTTATTATTTTTGCAGTGTGGTATATTGGTATTGTCAACAAATTTATTACAAGTGTAGCAGCAACAAATTGAAGTGCATATATAAAAAACTACAACACTTTCTTTGATGAATTTCACCTTAACATCAAAAGCCTAGAGGGACTCACTGAGGCACTGGAGAATGTTACACAAGACATGCTACAGCATGTTTGGCAGGAGCTGGACTTGACGTGTGTCATGTCACAGGTGGTATGCATATTGAACATTTGTGAAGCTTTGTGAAATCAGTTATAAAATCTACATCCCTTTGAATATCTTGTTCAGATTTTGATAAATAAATATTTTATTGTTCAACATAAAGCCTATTTAATTGTTAGCCTGGAACATGTAGTTACTCTGATATTCATATTTTAAATGATGTCAATTTATTTTGGAAACACCCTGTATATATACATATGTCCACAAATCTTCCATTTTTGAGTTATTAAAGAAAGTTTATGGTAGATGGCACTGTGTTGTCATGTAGACTAAGTTATATTAATCCAATTTGTAGTTGTTTCCAGTAAAATTATGATTTTTGACTAATATCTTTTATCTTTTCTTTTTTTTATAATTACAACATTTTGGTTGCTATTATTAGTTGATATACTATTTAGATTTTGGTATTAAATAACTAACAGAGGTTGATATGCTGCTAAAAAATAAACAAAGTTCAAAGACAGACAACCAACATTTAGTCAGACTAATATTTTTTTTCTTTTCTTTTTTTACAATTACAACATTTTGGCTGGTGGGCTCTCTAGATTTTTCTGATACTACCTTGGTATCCCACAGGGAATCTCAAAATGTAAACCTTCTATTCAATTTATAGGGGTAAACTGTTCTTATCCCACTCTCTATGTCTTAAGTGTAAGCATGATTAGCAATAACTGAACAGTTAACAAAGACACGATCTACCTAGATGCAAACAGTGGAATGAGAACAATCTACTCTCATAAATCAAGTAATAGGTTCAGTAATAGTTCATCAAGTAATAGGTTCGGTAATAGTTCATCAAGTAATAGGTTCGGTAATAGTTCATCAAGTAATAGGTTCGGTAATAGTTCATCAAGTAATAGGTTCGGTAATAGTTCGCTATCCATGATGATGCTAGGATTGGTGTTGCTTGTGCTATTCACCATTAATTTGGATTTCTTGGTGTTCAGTTACATTCCATATGTACCAGACTCTTTCAATGAGTTTCTTGGCCAGGTCTTGCAGCTCACTGTTACTGCAGACCATAAGATCAATATCATCTGTGAAACGCAGGTTACAGACAGGCCTGCTGCCAACAGAGATAAAAGTGCTGTGGTCATGGAGGGTTTCAAATTCCTTGAAGGTTATTTTGCTCACCTGGAAAAATCCAGAGGGTACAAGAACCAAAATGTGTGATCTTAACAACAAAGATGAGGATATTAGTTTGACTGTAGATAATATAAATAGTAAAATTCTAATTTCAATTTCACCACCATCTTTCTTCTGAAGTCATTGGTAATGTTGATTTTGGAATAAAAAATAATAATAAATTACAAGATGAAGATTTTAATCATGGTAAACATTTGCTTACCCGGACTGCAACTTTAACATTTACTTCTTGCATGTTGAAGTGCAAACTCTACACCATTCTTCAAGAGTAGCAAGTATGAACCACCAGCAACTGGTTGCTACCTATAATAGACATTTGATGGCAATAATTTCCAACAGATCAATTTATAGGTAAGTTATCAATAATAATAAATAAATAAATCACAAAGAAAAACTCGTCTTTAACCTTCAAAGACATGGAATTTCTGGGAACCAAATTTGAACATTTTTTTCTGATTAATAACATACACTACAGTTCGAAAGTTTGAAGCTACCCCCAGAATTAGCATGGGTCTTGACAGAAGAATGAAAAAAAAACAATGAAAAAGAGCTCTTTTAGTCATTGAAAAAAGAATAGAATCAATTATCAAGCATATGCTTTAAGAAACTTTTGCAACAAATGCCAAAAATTTGTACAAAAGTGAAAGGAGGATATTTTGATGAGAGCAAAATTTAATCATAAAATGCTTTTTTCCTTTTTGTCATAATAAAATTTCTAATAAAAATCATGTCTCATTTTTTGTTTTAATCATGTATAATAATTTTCTCTTATTTAAAATACAAAATGACTACTTTTTGGGCCAACTTAAAAAATTACCAGGGGTAACATTGAACTTTTGAACTGTAGAATACTTCTTCATAGCTACAAAATAAAAGACAATGAAATAAAGGAAAAGTTTTAGGCCCTGCCCACTTCTCAAAATCTGACCAAACATTTTTGAGAGAAGGTTTTCTTGGTTGAGCATATCCCGATATTTTCTTTTGGTTTTTCTATACTCAGCATAATATGGGATTTTGAATTAAGAGTAATTATAGTAGTAAATGAAACAAGTAGCTATGGTGATGTCTAGATGAGGGTGTGGTTGAGTGAATGTCTTGTAGGATAGGATTGTTTCCATTTTTGTATTCAATCCTACATTAATTTCGGCTAGTTAACTGATGTCTCTGCTACAATTTAGGAAGTGGGGAGGGGCTTTTATTCCTAACACAGCTTTGTTTTGTCGGTGCTAATCCTTTATGGCTGACTGCAAAAACATCCCCCCTCCCCAACATTTACAGCCAAATCATACAGCTGCATGCTGGATTTCTTCCTAGCCAATAAGATAGGCTACATCTTGGTCTCATCTGCCATATTTCTTTTCTTTCTTGTCTAACAGTGAGATTCACCCTGTACAAGGCCCTGGAGTCACTCAAGGTAGAGTGATACAGAGTAAGAGGCACAGTTTACATGGATAGGTGAGGAAGATAACAGTTAACTCTAGACTTGAACTGGTTAAGTTTGTAGTGATCAGGAAAACATCCTCTTAGGAATCAGTTCCACAGGGCAGTAGTTCACAGGAAGAAGATGCTTGAGTGGCACTTAATTATCACCCCAATGGGTTATGGAGGGAATGGGGGGGTTCACTACAATGTGCATAGCATGGCAGGTCCTAGCCATTAGGGTTGTCTTGAAATCAGAACACTACAATCACTTCTTTTATGTGTTAACATCATTCTTAGTTTGTTACTTTTGATTTGTATGTGTGTATATATATATATATATATATATATATATTATTTGCTTCATATTAATTTTTGCTCTGTTCTTCTCTTTTTGTTACTGCTTATTGCAAACTTTATCAATTCTGTTTGTTGGGTATTGCTGCCAAATACATTTTAAACATGGCCAATTACTCTAGTTTTGTAAATATTATTTTATTGTTAATATGCATCGATGTTACATTTTTAAAGTTGTTGTCTCCCAACCCCCACAAGCAAACTGTACATAAGGGGACTAGTCAAGATTTCATAGAGAAAGTGTAAGAAGGGTAAGTAGGACTGTGTTGTTTTGGTGTAAGGAAAATTATAAGTTTGGGTCAGTGATAATGGCTAGTAAAATGCAGGACCGATGAAGGCTAGTATTCCCCCTTCCATGTTGGCCTTGTGTCACATTTCTTGTTATTAACAAGAATAAATATTGTAGCTACAGATTCATTTATTTTCTACAGCTTATTAACCCTAAAGCTAGAAAAATATTTTATTTTTAAATTGTAAGAATTTTTCTTTTGGGAAATAATTTAGTGATACAAGTTTTACTAATTAACCCATAGCTGGATTCATACCTTTCCCAAAGGTATTTGCATGTAAGTGAATTTAATGAATCCAACTGGAATTCGGCTCTCCAATTAACAATTCCAAGCCATTATCCATTACACTACCTGTACATTTAAGCTCACAGACTCTGGTATTCCTTCTAGATACTGACCAAGCTTGATGCTGCTTAACTTTGGTGATCATACAGGAACCAATGTTTCAATGTGATATAGCCATGAGCCATATTGCAGCTATGGTGATTCCTTAAATACTGTTTCAATATATAATGAAGTGTATTTTTTTTTCAATTCACCCCAAGCAAGGCAATAAAGTCACTAAGACACAAGGGGCTACTGGAAGTCATGTGGTAAGAAGGATTAAAAGTTACTTCTGTCTGAAAATTGTTTTGAGTTAAGGAGGTGCACAAGAAATGCAGTGGCATCACTGCTAGGCTAACAGAACTACCAGATTACATTTGCCCAAGATGACATGGTTAAGCACACACTATAGAAGGCAGGCCCACTACCCAAGTCACTTTGGACAGTTCAAAAATGGATATTGTGCCCTGTTTCTGTTATCTTGGGGGTATGCTATGTGCAGGTGGAGTTTGTGAGCTCACCATTATAACCAGGTGCTCTGTGGCTTAGAGAAAATTCTAAAAGCCCCTACCCATTCTCACATCCAAGCATGTATCGTTGAGAACTCATGGCAAATTGTTCTCTGCATGTGTATGATTGGCACTGCTCCACAGCAGTGAGACTTGAGTACCAAGTAGGTCAGTTGCAACAACTGATCAATTATTCACTGGATCTGCAGCACTAAGCCTCAGTATGAAACACTCCCATCTGAGTTGTTAACAAGGCTTGGTATTGAAAATATAACATCAGTTCTGCGTACCCGTAGTCTTAGATGGTTTGGTCATGTCCAGTAAGCCTTGTCATGCATCAAGACTGTCTCAGAGTTCAGGGTTCCTGGTCACAGAGATTGAGGTAAACCTAGGAAGCTGTGGAAGGACTGTATTGAGAGGGATGTGCAGGAGTACAGCCTTACCCACATTAGCCCATTTAACAGGGATGCTTGGAAAGCAGGAGTGAAAGCTAGCTGATTGCTGCCTACCCCCCTCTGGGAAATCTGCAGCAGTATAATCAAAGCTCTGATTATTGACTTGACTAAGGAAAGAAATAACAATTATACTTTTTATATAAAGCTGAACTTCAATGTACACCACTACAACAATCAATAGAGTGATACAGAACATTTCTTAATCTAAATTGGTTAAGCACCTCACATCACAGGGCCTTCAGACAAACAAATGTCTTTTGTTTTTTAAATCTGACCCAAACTACTACCAATCAGGGTGAATGGAGGTCCTCTCTGGGAAGCACCTTGGCTTGAAACACTGTTGGATCTCAAATTCACACCTAACCTAAAGTGGAACTTATACATATGATCCATTGCTAAGGATGCAGGTAAAGTGGTCCGTTCCCTGTACCATTCCAGTAAGTACCTGACACCTTGTGCTATCCTCTACCTTTACAAGAGCTAGATCAGGCCCAAAATGGTGTACTGTTTTCATATTTGGGTGGGAGCTGCCCATACCCCACTCTCCAGCCTTGATAGAGTCTAAAAGCATCCACGAGTCCTTGTGGATAACAAATTATTCTCCACCATTCAACTTCTCTCCCACAGGCAGGATGTGGCAAGCTTCTCACTGCTCTACTCCTACTTCCACAGAAAGTGCTCAGACAAACTACATTCCTTGGTTCCACCAAGTCAACCCTTCATGGCACTTATATAACCACCCACATTCCCGCCATATTCCATCGGTGAAAAGTAAGTTTGACTTGAGCAGCTTCTTCCCACAAACCACTGTCCTGTGGAACTGACTCCCAACAGGATGCTTCCCCAATCACTACAATCTTAACCTGTTCAAAGCTAGGGTTAACCATTATCTTCCACTCCTATACACACAAATGACCTCTTAAAGTAACATTCTACCTCAAGTGGCCCCCAGGCCTTGTAAAGGGTGAGCCATACTGTTAAAAAAAAGTTCAACTGCTGATGTATTAATGATTATTGCCAAAAGAGTCTATCAAGCTTATTTGGCATAGTGGTCTTCTTCATAACTTGGAAGGTTACAGAGTCTCTGGATGAATTTTTGAACTGATTCCATCTTATCAAATCATGAAATGTAAGTTGTCCAAAACAGCCACTCTTCTCGATCATTTTGTACTAATGCAGCTGTGTCCCAGTGCTCTCTCTTTGGTTCTACTGTTTTTAATTTTCATCAATGACTTTCTTTCAGCTCTCAACTTGGTATCTATGTTGGCGACACAACCATATACTCCTTTCTCAATAGTAAGTCTGATCAGTTCAATAAGGTCAAATTGGCAGATGATCTCAAAAATGATCTATAGTCTGTTGTTAACTGGAGCAAAGAATGGCTTGTTAATTTTAACAACTCCAAAACAAAACAGCTCACTATTAATCATTTGAGAGAAACCCCTTTCTGCATTCCATCAGCATGGCTGATGCTAACCTCCAGGAGCATGACTCATTGCACCTTCTCAACCTAACATTCTTAACTGACATGAAGTGGAAAGACTATATTGAATCCATTGCTAGGTCTGTGGCTAAGAAATTTGGTTCACCATGTTAGACAATTTTTCTTTCCAGAATCTATCTTACATATTTATAAGTCTACCATTTATTCATGTTCTGAATACTGCTGCCACATATGGTCCAGTGATCCTGTTATATCTTTAGAGATGATAAAATCCAAAGAAGGATCAGTAATATCATTGGGTTTGACCTCAGTTTCAGTCACTTTCTCACCACTGTAATGTAGCATCCCTGTGCCTTTTCTATATAAATTTTCATAGTAATTGTTCAGATGAACTCTTCATTATGCTTCCCAGACTTTAGGAATTTAAGCACAGAACT